GGGGGGGGGGGGTCCATCTTCCCCGGGGAAGCTGGCCTAAGAACAGGGGCGGACTCGGCTGTGGAAAAGCCCTTTTTGTGGGCAACACACGCGGAATAGGGAGGGCTTCATGGCAACGCCACAGTTTAAACGAAGGAGAGGCAGCGTGCAGACGGAAGCCGTACAGCCATGCGGGAAGCCTGCAGGCAAGCCCGGCATCTGCTCCAGCAACCGTTCAGGGCATGGCGTCCCACCTCACCCTCTTGCGCCGTCTCACGACAGGGTGAGGCCCTCGACGCAGCTTTAAGGGGAGAGGCCGGCCTCAACTGGGGGGGTCCATCTTCCCCGAGGAAGCTGGCCTAAGGCCAGGAGCGGCCTCGGCTGTGGAAAACCCTTTCGTGCTCTACTTCACGGGGGAGTCGAGGAAGGGAACTCCCCCCTTCCCGAGGCGGCTTGTGAGCGAGGCGCCCCAAAGCTTTTACGCACAGCGAGGAAGCGGCTGTGGCCTGTCCTCCCTTCAGAGATCACAGCCAAATTCTCCGTGCTTTTTAAAATTATTATTATTATTCGAACTAAGCTCCCCGAAGGGAACGACTCCTAAGAGTAACCGCGCCTCGAACGTGAGGAAATCTGGAAAAGTTAGGAAGTTCCGCCCGGGCACGAGGGCGGCGTTTGCTTCCTGAGGGACGGACGGCACCCTCGGCCCTGGCCTGGCCCCTCCGGCCCGTGGGTGGGCGCGGGAGAAAACGGGGGGGGGCGTTGCGGGCGAAGGCATGGAACCACCCGGATCCTGCCGCCTGCGCCTTTAAGGATTGCACCCGGAGGCGGAGCGGGGAGTGTCCCGGGCAGGCGCTGGAGGTGGTGCGGCCGGACGAGTGGGACTGACTCTTCGGGACGGTCACGGCGGCGGCGGCTCGGCTTGCGCGTGGGCCTTGCGGGAGGAAGCGAGAGCGCACGGCGAAGGCGCGGCCAGCAGCATGGACTGGGGCACGGAGCTGTGGGTAAGCGAGCGCGGGCGCGTTTTTCCCGGGACTCGCGCGCGCCTCAGATTGCTCGCCCGCACTTTCCTCGCCCCTTCTTGCTTCTTCCCCCACCCATCCCCGCGCCCCGGCCTTTGACCACATTTCTTCCACGTCTGGCCACTTTGCCTCCGTCCCACCACCCACGGCGAGGCGGCTTCCTTCGGCAGTGCCCAGACTTGCAAAGCGCCCCTGGGTCCTCCAGCCGCTTCCTCGGGCACCAATAGGTTTTCCTCCCGGCGCTTGGTAACTCCCTCTCCCGATTCCCTTCCTCGCCACTTTCGTCCGTATCTCGCTCGCATTTTCGCCATGGCTGCTGATAGGGGGTCTCTCTCTCCCCTCGTCGCAGGGTCTCTTTTCCATCCTTGTTTTACATCCACGCTCCTGTTTTTCTCTCCCTCTTTTGCCTCTTATGTACCAATGAGAGGTGGGGTTTTTTGGGGGGGGGGAGGCGTGGGGGCGGAGAGCTCATGCCTTGCTTTCCTCTTCAGCAGTGAATCTAAATCTCCCGTGGTCGGTGAGGAATTATATGCTTCGTGGAAGGCGATATCATGTATGGATGCCGGCGAACTTTTCCATGGCCCCTTAAATTAGACCACTAGGAAGAAAGAGGAGGCGCTCTCGCACTCTTGATCTTCAGCATTTAAAGCTGTAGATGTGCCCATAGCAAATCTTTCCCAACAGCTCCCTTCCGCACTTTTCTTCTCGGCTGGATCTTTTTTGAAACAGAAGATAAGGCAATGGGCAAAATAGTTCAAGAACTTTTTGGGTCACTTTATAATGAGTGGAGAAATAAATCTGCCTGTGTTGTCGATGGTAGCTTGTGCCCTCCCCCCGTCTTGCCTAGCCTGAGGCATTTTGGCATTGCTGCTTTACCAAGCTCTCTCTGCCTTCTGCAGGACTCAGATGGACAGCTGCATTGTGACTTGAGGACTTAATGAGTTAGTTGCATGTCTGTTTTCTCTGTAATGTTGTATGAGATGATGCCTGATGCTTGCATTCTGTTGATGCCAGTACACTGTTAGTAAATAAGAATAGAGATGAGCCTGAGCTTATGAAAAATTTTGAACAAAGTTCTCAGCAAAACTGCATGAGCAAATTTAGCACTCAAGGGATAAAAGGATAGGCAACCACTTAAAGAACAGAAGCCAGAGAATAGAAATATATTGTAATTTCTTTCAGTGGAGGGATGTAAAGTGGAGATTCCTTCAGAAATATCTACCAGGGTTGGTGCTTTTAAACTTGTCATCAGGACTTCAAATGGCTAACTTTGCTGTTAGTAGCAATTTAGTTAGAATACTTAAAGTAAAAAAAGGGGATTGAGAAGAGCTCCAATTATGAAGGATCTCTACAAACTGGAGTTCAGTGTAAATTCTTGTTAAGTCATGCATGTAGGGGCAAAAAATCCTAACTTCATGCATATGCTAGTAGGTTGGCATTAAATGACTCAAGAAGGAGATGTTGCGGGCTGTGGTGGATAGCTTGATGAAAATGTTGACTTGTTGCTGTGAAAATGGCACATCTGATGTTAGGAATCATTGCAGAAGACAAAATTGCTGATATTTTGGAGCTTTTATATGAATCAGTGGTGTAATCACTTGCAGGAGTTGTTTGTTTCTCTGATGAGTATACCTCAGAAATACTGTTGTAGTTTCTAGAAAAGGTCTCTGATAGGGCAACCAGAATGATCAAGGAGTAAGAAATGCATGTCTGGTATTAAAGGGCTCTTTACTGGGGGTTTTTTTTTGGGGGGGGAGGCTGAGAGGAGATGTGATGGAGGTATGTAAAGGGAGGAGGGGTTTTGATGAAAGTGGATAGGGACAAGTTATTCTTTCTAACACTTATAAAATCTAGGTTCATCCAGTCTAGATAAATGGCAAAAGATGCAGGACAAATAAAAGTGAGTACTTTTTAAACATTGTAAACTAGGAAAGTCACCATCATATGATGTAGTGTTGGCTCACAAACATGTGTGGCTTTGGAAAGAGATTGGACAGATTCATGGATAATGGGGCTGTTAATGGCTACTGATCACGAGGGCTGTGTATTGCTTGCAGCGTCAGTGTGTCTCCATGCTACTTCCTGGGATACATGAGGAGGGAGTTGTTGTTATGCGTGTCCTACTAAGGGGTTCCCAGAGCCACTGGGTGAACACTGTAGAACCAGAAAGTGGACTTGGCATCTCTCTATTCTGATCTACCATGGTTCTTCTTGTATACCTCCAAAAACCCTTTAGAAATGCTTTTCTTCAAAATCCTTATCCTTTAATATCTGCTATGTTTGAAAACAGAGTGGCTGAAGAGTGGGGAGGGGGGAACAATTTATGAATGAATTGAAAAATTCTTCTAGTCTGTATTAAAGAATGTACAATGCGTGGTTGTTCTGTTTATTCAGGATTGTATTTTGATGCTTCAAATTTATTTTAAAATAGGAGCAGGCTGACTTTTCTCTTACACGGTATATTCTGTTTAACATTTAGTTATTTAGAAATAAGACATTTACATCTGAACTTTTCAAAGCAATGTCCATCAATAAAATAGTAAGTGTAAACATTAAATGAAGATACGTTTACGCCATCAATAGTATAGATAGTAAATCTGAATGAAGAGGCTTGCAGAAATTAAAAATGTGCTCCTTTTCTTGTTGAACTGCTGAAATGGTTGTGCTAACTAGAAGCCCTGTTGTATGACAGTATGCTTTTAAATTTAAAAAGGAAGAAAGCACACTCAAAATCTGTGGTTGAGACATACTAATCTGTGCGAAGTGTGCCTGCTCCTGCAGTCTCTCTGTGACCAACATCCACAGAGTTCAGAGTTCTCGACAAGAATTCCCACAAGTACTTAGGTGGCGTCATGAAAATTAACCATTAGACCGATACTGGACCCAGATCTCCTTTCTGACGGCTCCAAATATGTTCTGGCTGATGAAAACTTTGTCAGAAGATAATTTAGAATTCTGTGATGAACCCCAAAAGATTATTCAGGTTCTGTATATAACTGATCTTATCTATATGCTTTATTTGTTCTGGGCAAGCTGTCTATAGAAGTCATTCAGTGTTGGGTGGAATGTGTACTCCAATGGATGAAGAAAACCAAGTAAAGGTTTCTGCAACTCAGGAAAGAAAGTTCTTTACCTTTCTGTAAACTAGCAGCAATTGCAATACAGTATACTATACTTGAGCCTGGTTTTGGACAGAACAGAAATATACAACCATTGGTTAAATAGAATAAGAAATAGATTTTCTCATTAAGCACAATGGGTGGTAAATTTCTAACAAAAAATTAAGGAGTTTTCAAATAAAAGGATTTGAATTAGTTTGAATTTCTAGATTGTATTATTCCCAAGAGGCTCAGTCAGAGCAGGTGAGATCTTTGCATCTGATTCAAATAATCCTTGTTCAGCCTCTAAAATTTGAATTTCACACTGTAGTTGAAATATTTTTTCCACTTGGAAACAGATAGAAAAAGAGGTGAGAGAACCTTCTCAGGTTTCTTTTTTATTATTATTAATTTAAGAGTTGAAAACATGCAAGACAATTTGAGAGCACATCTGTCCTATATGATAAACTTATGCTTCTTATTCGTTTCCACAAAATTCTCTGTTTCTCCTCCTAGTTGTTCAGAAAATGTTGCTGCTCTTGTTGCAGGGTTAATTGGTAGCTGGGTAGTTAGTTGCTTAAATGCTTTCCATCCTCACTGATTATGTAAATTTACCTAAAGTCCTTCTGGGTTCCCATAAGGATCAGTTGTTCCTCTTGTATCAGGTTCAGTTTTTGCTTTACATCATGCACTTAGAAGACATAGGATCCTAAAGGTGTCTTTCTCACCCCTTACGCAAAGCTGATACGTCTAATCTAATTAGATAGAGATTAGCTCTCCTTAGTATGCTAGAGTAGAGCAGGCTATTTCTGGTGCTTACCCTTCCATGAGCAAAATGTATCCGAAAGAGAAAAATCATTTTGAAATGCTCCAGATATTCAGACAATAATTATCTCAGTGACAGTAACGAATAATAGTTGCTGACTCTGTTATCTGCAGCATGGAACACGAGCTTGTTTCCTGTACTGTACTGTATTCTGCTGTGTTCTCTAAGGCAGTGGTCCCCAACCTTAGGCCTCCAGATGGACTTCAATTCCCAGAAATCCTGGCCAGCAGAGGTGGTGGTGAAGGCTTCTGGGAGTTGTAGTCCAAGAACATCTAGAGGCCCAAGGTTGGGGACCACTGCTCTAAGGTATACTGAGGGGAGCATAGAAACCAAAAGTTGTGGGTTAATGCCGTCTATGATTGCTAACTTTTATAGCAAATGGAATTTTTGCATGGGTGCCTGAATGTGCTCCTGAAATTAGTAGATTCCATTACAGGTTGATTTAATTCTTATTTACTGAATTATCTGCACTGGTAGAACTTTGTGAAAAATAAATTTGAACTATAGGACGTAGCATGCAAACACTGGGAGTAGATTATGTTATCATTCAAAAAAAAAGTTTGTTGTGCTGATGTGTTGCAATCAACTCTGGCTTTCAGGGGCATCTATATTACCTGTCCATGCAGCAGAATCAGGTCTGTGTGTTAACCGTTGTGTGCATATGTTCATCACACATACAAAAGGATAGCCATGTGGGCACAAAACAAATCACAAAACCCATATTGGTATGGTACTGTTTAACTCACCAAAAAAGACACACACACAAAAAGTGGTAGCCTGTGAAATCACAGAACTAAGCAGGAGTGGGAAGAGGAGTAAGCTTGACCTTAATTCCCTGTAGCTTTCATAATATCTTGAGATACAATGGAGAAGGAAGCCTCTGCAAGCAATCAGTTGGAGCTCATAAAGTGATGCAGTGGTGTTTGGTTCACATAGGGTAGCCCATAGACTTCCCAACAGCTAGGAAATTAGAAACTTTTGGGCTTCCATCATAGACATTAGCGGTCCCCACAGTACAAATGGAGTCACCACACTCAACAATCACATGAAAGTGTTAT